CATATAGGATGGCAGGCAGGTACTGGGTTCTGGGTTGGGCAGCACTTAAGAACTTCTGGCAGTGTTTTTAACTAGCTCGTTCTGACTTCAGAGCAGTCCTTGCTCGAAAATACAACATACACAATTTCTCTGCCATGCAAAAATACTCATTAGAGAGACAGGTGGTTGTGGACTAGAAATATGCAAAGAAGGAGCCATTTGCTTGTGGAAATTGGTAGAGCCCCATTATATCAAATGACCAATCTCTAATTATAGCAGAGGAAGAGCTTACTCATTGTTTTGAACCGACTCCACTTAGAAAGTTATTTTCAATTAAAAAAAAAACAAAAAAAACAACCAAACAACTACTCCCAAAGCTATCAGTGACTTGCTTAGAAGTGTTAAATGCATATGAATCTGGATACATTTATTTCTGAATGTAGTTCTCCTTATGTTCCACAAAAGTTGTTCATCATTCACCTTCAGATATATACTCCTTTGTTTCTTATTCCAGAATGTAGCTAGATGGATGAAAGCCAGTATTATTTTTTTTCAGAAATACTATATATAATTGAATTTTTCTGGTAGTCAGACTGTGGTCAAATTCCTTTTAGGGGCCAAAAGCTCTTGTTGTATTCCTGTGTACTCTATGTTTTGTGGAGAGTTTTTTAAAATTATTCTGATTGTGCTGTAAAAGAAGACAAAGCTAAACAGACTTCTCTACCTTCTGTTTAATGAAAGCCCTGTGTGGCATGCATGAAACAATATATGGATGTATGAAAAGAATCCTAAATTGAGTCCTTTCATTCTGGTTTTCTATCCACCAAGGTGGCCTAGTATCTTAAAAGCCATGGGATGTTTTATAGCTGTACTAGTGAGTCATGACTTGAGGCTTCTTTTGCAGTGCAGCTATCATAAGTCTTTGAGTAATCACAGACTTTAAAAGTATGCTACATCAACAAGATAAGAGAAACAGCCCACAGCACTAACAGCATTATCTTCTACCAAAATTGATTAGCCCATACTATGTGTCTCAAATATTTTGTATAAACTTACTCAGCAAGTTAGAAATAAGTATGTTCCTGAAGAACAAGCCGGGGAAAAAAGAAAAAAAACCACCAAAAAACAAACAAACTAAAAAAAACCCCAGCCTAAAAACACTTGCTCCGTAGCAAGGAATGGGCAAGTAAATAACACTGCATGGAATGTCTCTTAAGTAATTTTTATACCTTACTCACAAAAACTAAAAGCAGAGCATCGCTTCCTCTCTACTTATATTTCTTATTGCTGTTTCTGTCATACTTCTTGCTGTCCTTTTCAGTAGGAGAGCTGACAAGTCTAGGATGAAGAGAATAAAACAACTTCTTTACTTTGCATGGGAATTATGAGTGTATTGCATATTTTATTCCAGGGGTAGGAAGGAGTTCTGTTACAATTTGCTGTTATGTGAAGGAACGTTGTATTCAGTACTGAGATGGTCTGTGGTGATTGCTGATTACTTGAAGCGCCTAACAGTGTTTGGCACAGAATTTTCTGCTTCCTTTGGGTTTGAGCATGGATTAAAGGAAGCTGCTGCAGTTTTTTATCCTTTCTTTTTTTTTTTCCTCCCCACATGTTGGAATTTCCATGGACAAGTGTGTGTGAAGAGTCAGTACCAGCTGAGTCTTTACACTTACTGTGAGTGGTGATACAGCAACAAAGTCTCAGATCCTTTTCCTTCTCCTGATGTAATCTGTGAAGATTCTGAGCAGTTGTGCAGGGGATGGTAGCTGTAGAGAGCACTTCAGATTTACATCTGAACTTCCTCTGATGCTGAAGGGGAAAATCTTGTCTTGCTGACACATTTTTCAAACCCTTTTAATTAAGAGTCACAGGGTAAGGTTCTCATTTTCCAGCAAACACCCTTGAAGTCACACATTACTTAGGGTCACAGGTATGGCATTTAAACCAGCATCCCTGCGGGAAGTCAGCACTGAGCAGGGGACAGCCCTGGTTACATCAAGTGGGAGAGTGAACCCCTGTGTGCTGCAGTTGTGGTACCATTCACCAAACAGGAAATTTCAGAGGAGAAAAATGTAAATAAAAGCAGAAAAGTTGCAGGCAGTGTTATTTTTTTTTCCTGTAAAAAAACCGAAGATTTTCAGATGAAAAAATAAAATCTTCACGAAGGACTAAATTTTAAGGTGCTACACCTTGTATAAGCATAACCAGATTGTCTCATTTTGCCAAAAAATGCAAGCAGATTGTTCTTCCCAACTCTGACATTCACCCATAGTATTAAAATGGCTGCTGGTCATGGTGACCAGAGACAAATGTTTGTTTTTTGGAGAACTGCAATGAAGAGAAACAGAAAGGTCTTGCAGCAATTTTTTTTTTCCCTCTGTCTGCAATCTACTTTTCTTTCATAGTGTTCTAAGTGAATGGGGAAACACAGCAGTTTCAGTACAAATCAGCATGTTGTTACCCCATAGGCAGTACATTTCAAAGTATTCATATATATTGAATATTGCCTGAACTACACCTTAGAAATGTAACAAAAGGGAATAAGAGAGAGAATCCATACTACATTTAATTATCAACATAAGGGAAAAATTATATTTGGAAAAAATTGCTTGTTCTTATGCTTGCCTCAAATCTGAACTACTTATCAGGTATAAGATTAATGTTATTAATTTTATTTAAAATATAATGTGTAATGATGTGTACCTTAAAACTTTGGTAGCTTTTTGGATATCACTGGTTGATCTGCCCTAAGTTTGTCGTTCTTAATCCATTAAAAGACAGGCCTGCTTGTAAATCCACAGGTACAGATAAGGAGTCACTGTTTGACTGTGTCTGAACCCTTTTCAAATGAAAAATGTCAGTGGCAGAAAGGGAGGCTGAATTATTTTTTAAAAGGGTTTTCAAAGATTCTCATGATTCCTCTGGTATCAGTTAAATGTGACATGTCCATAGACATGGCTGTTTTTTAGTGTGTAAAAGCAAGCAAATGCTGCAGTTTTCATCTCTGTGTAGAGAGAAAATGCTGCAGTATGGCTAAGTGATAAACATGTTACTTTGCAATTTCTCTCTTCCATAATTAACATATAAAGAGATTTTTTGAAGCTAATACAATTTGTAACAATATGACTGTGAGAAGGAAAAAATGCTTTTATGGTTGTTTGGATGGGGTTTTTTTTCTGTTTGGATGCATATATGTCACATGTGTAAATTAGATATAATTAATCCATAAGCTTTCCTGCTCACATACTGCTTTATAAAATGTCATAGCACTGGCATGATGAGGACTCACCCACATACGGAGAAGCTTTTGTAAACCGATACAGCTCTATTTCCTAGATTTGTTCCAGTTTGCAGGAAGGATCTGATGCACGATTTTACGTAGAGTAGTTTTGTAATCTGCAACACTCAGAGGTGAAATTTAGATTTCTGTGCTTGAAAATGGAAGCTGGAGCCAACTCTTCTATTTGGAAGATGGTCAAGATTAACCCCTGTGGACAAGGAAAAGCTTTGCAGCCTGACTGCAATGTAAAACCAGGCATCCAGGGGAATGTTTAGTTCAGGGAAGTCTGGGAGGCTGCCTGTGAGCCAGGAGGAGTTACTCACTTCCTTCAGCCCAAGGTTCATTTCACAACAACCACGAGTTCTAAATCTGGGATGAATTGACTCCTTGCACAGTTGGACTTTGCTCTGTTTGTGGAAAAGCACTGTCCTTATTTGGGGTGGAGTTGTTGAGGCGTGCTGATGCAAAAGACAGGAATCACTGTTGCATCTTTGGTATGGAAAGGGAGCAAGGGGCTTTAACAATCATAGAAAATAGATCATGAAAAATCATGGCTTCAGCAAAGTTGAGGTGAGCTCTGATGCTCCTGAGGACAACAGATTTTTTGCCTACCTGCAGGAAGGGCAAAGCTTGGAAGTGCAAGAGCATGGAAAAAGCAGTTAAACATCTAACAGGAAAAGTACAGACCAGCCAGTCTTTGTTCCATTCTATCCCCATGAAAGTCTGAAACCAGAATTTATTCAGAAAAGTGTTAGCAATTGTGTATGTAAATATAACTGTTGCTGCATTTTTAAATGAGACTTTTTAAATAAAAATAGTCATAGTGAAGACACTGCTTTCAAAGAAGAGTTGTCCAGACTATATTTTTAATCTTGAAATAAAGTAATAAAATATGGGGTAGGAAAGGTAGTGACTGATTTTTATTTTTCCCTCCATGAGAATGATCAATTATGTTATTCTTTCTCTTTACTAGAAAATCCAGAAAAGTTAAGGTGAGCTAAAGCAAAAATTTCTCCTTTAAGTGTTAATTTTGAAGTCTTTGCTTTCAAAAATAATTTTTTTTTAAAAAGTATCACGCATTAGAAATCATTATGGACTGAAAAAAACATCATACAGCTTCCCTATTGCTTTTACTTATTTTGTCTTATAATATTAGGCTAACAATTTAAATAATTTTTTGTTTAATTCTGAAATGTTACTGCCTGTAAAATCTCAGTTCAAAATCCTTTTTGTAATTGCAGTAAATGCTTTTAGTAGTATCTTGGAGGTGTTGTGAATTTTTTATGGCTATATGCTCTTTTTCTAAAAATTTTAGTTGCTGCATGCTTCAAAATGTGATCTTGTGCAGCAAAATGCATCAAGGAGATTAATGCACCAGGTGTGGCTGTTACAGGACTCTCTCTTTTCAGCTGCCATTTCCCCCCTCCTCAGCACTTCTTAACAACTCTTATGGAATGCTATTCTGAATAAAATTGCTTTCAAACTCTAATGTGTGTGAAAAGATGCAAGAAAGGAATGGAACTTTCTGAACCAAATTTGAATATAATTATAAGGGAAAAAGGTTTGTTTTTCTTCTGCAGGATGACAAGATCAGTTGTTTCTCAGACAAGCATAATTAATTCTCATTATATTGGTCCTCAGAACGTTGTGCGTATAAAACCGACACAAAGGCAGAGGTGGTTGTTGTCACGGCATGAGTGAAAGTACTCTCAACACTGCTTGTTTTCTTTGTTTGCAGGAGAGTTGGAGGTGGTCCAGAAAGACGGGGAGCGCAAGATCCAGAGCCGGCAGCAGCTTCCGGTTGGAACAACATGGGGGCCTTTCACTGGGAAGATGGATCTGAATAATAACACCTTGGTATGTAGATGCTCCGAGAGCTTCTCTTTGTTATACTGTGTGTCATTCCTCAGGGAATAGCCTGAATTGCTCCTCAGAGGGAGCGTTTGAAAACAGGCATTGTTAGCTTTAACGGACAGTGGTATTTGGCTCTTTTCCAATTTGTTCATCTATGGCAACCATCCACATGAAGTTATTTGGAGCACAGGTTAATAGTGTTTAACTTGTTCTTTTGCTGAAGGGAAATGTCACTTCCTTGTTTGCTGAACCAAGGTGTTGTGTTTCAGTAGTAATATCTGATTTTTTTCATGGCTTTTTAAATTTTTCATATATTAATTGCTGAATACTTAATTTATATTAAAGAAAGGTATCAAAAACAAATAACTATATTATTTTAGGATCAAATTAATTAAATTTGCCTTAATGTAATTGAACATAGTAAAATCTTCCATCAAATACACATTTTTTTTAAAAGCATCAAAAGACACCTGTCAGATAATATATTCTCAATTATCCTCATTTTTTATTCTGATTGCAGAAAGTATGTGGACCATTTTACTTAAAAGTAATGCTTTGCTGATCTCACTTCAGTGCACTGAAAATCATGTCATTTCTAGGTCTTCATTTCATCTTTGTTTGTGTTGGTTTTAAGTCTGAGTTTCAATATTATTTGTGTATAGTTCAGATTAATTTTCTGAAAATATCAGGAAGGAAACAACTAATATCTCTAGAAGGGTTTAAACAGACTTGGAACATGCATTGCCCTGTGGGATACTTCTGAAGAGCCATTATCTGCAGCTGGATCACTGTTTGCTGTTACAGACCTTGCATTGAATGTATTAAGCATAAAGATGTGTGGGATGGTTTCACAGGAGGGGATTGCAGGTGTTTGGGGTGCACACATCTGCACTGCAAATGGAGAACCTGAGCTTCTCTAGCCCTGGGGATCGTCCTGCATTTGGAGGACCTGAAGAGAGGGAGGAGCACTGTAGTGGCTGATTTGTCATATGGGACAGTGTGAGAGAGGGGTTATGTGGACAGGGGAGAAAAAGGGGGAAATGGAGTGTGTTCAGCTAACTCCTCCCTGGAGAACCTTTGCCTCTATAATGGAGCTCTCTTTCTAAGGGTTGTGGGATAGGATGCATGTGACTTTCTGTAAATATGCATATTAAAATTTGAGTGAAGCATTATTCTGAGTATAGTATAGTATAGTACAGTATAGTACAGTATAGATATAGTTCATAGTAGACATTTAAAATCTTACTGTTTTGTCCTCTTTAGCGTAATTTATTAATCAAATGGTGCTAAGAAATGTTACAGAAAGTGGCATGGAAACTTTGTCTAAGTTTTCAAGAGTTCAAGAGTATTCCCAATCCAGATCAGATTTCCCATTCAGGCACCTGAATAAAGAATAGATTTTCAGAAGTACTGCAGAGTCAAAGCATCTAAATGTTAGAAAGGAAAAACTGGAAAAGTTGAGCTTGTGTCATTTTCTCCATCAATTTAATTTTTATTTCTTCATCTATTTTATTATTGGCCTGTCATAATTCTCAAATTGTTTTTCATAAAATGTCGTATGTAACAATCACCTGTAATTCAAATTTTCTAAATCCCAGTATAACTAATTTCATCAGCTTTCACATAACAGAAACCTTAGCCCCGTTGTAGCTTGAGGTCTGTCCAGAATCCATAACATAGAGAAATGCTGGTTTGGCTTTATCCACTTTTACCACTTTATTGGGTGTATACAATATGAAGATAATGTTTAAGTATGGGAGCTGCTATTAATTGTCCCTTCTCTACAAAATTTATCTTTATCAGATATTCTTAGGATGCATTTGCAATATATCAGCAGCCAATTATAAAATCATATTGTATCTCTTTTTTCGTTGTTTGTTTAGTTGTTGTTGTTTTTTGGTGGTTTTTGTTTGTTTGTTTGTTTGTTTGTTTGTCTGGTTTTTGTTTGGTTTTGGTTTGGTTTGGTTTGGTTTGGTTTGGTTTGGTTTTTTGGGGTTTTTTTGTGGCATTGTAGAATAACCACAATCCTAGAAGGACCTTGCTTTTCTCTTAATAGCATAGGAATGTTTTAAGGTCTGTTATTGCTATTTGAATTTGGACAAATACCACTTTTGCTATATCAAAAACATTTAGCTAAGATAGTTGGATTTTAATGAATTGAGCAGTATGCAGAATTGAATTTCAATTTTTTTATTGTAATGGGATAGAACAACTTTCTCAGTGTAGTTCACAGAGATGTGTGATGAAAAGCTTCAGGACTTCTTTGTCATTAAACTGTAAAGATACTTTTTTATTATTAAATTAAAAATCATATAGTCTATTAACACTTGAAAGATTTTACTTCTGTTTTGTCTACAAATATAGACACATTTGGAAATCTAAAAAAGTTCCTGTAAACAGAATTTTAGGCCTCAGAAATATTGTTTTGTCCCCTGAACAACTCCATCCCTTGAAAAAGTCAAAACTGAGCTGGGTATCATCTTGAGCAATCTGATTTAACTTCGAAGTTGCATCTGACTTTGAAGTTTGCCCTCTTTGAGCAGGACTTTGGACTGGACGACCTCCAGAGATCTCTTCCCACCTGAGTTATTTTCTGATGTTAAGTATTTTTTTCTTTCTCCCAAATATCAGATGTTTCCTCTATACTACATTTGGTACTTTAAAATGCTGTGTGAAGAAATACAGACCTTTTGATGCAACTTTAATTTGCTGTTAAAGCAACAAAACTTCAGCATCAGCTTCTACATGGTTTTCTTTTATCTTTTTTTTCTCTTGAAATGATTCTGGTTTTTTTGGGGTTTTTTTTTGACACATTTGATTACTTATCTCACTATTGTACATGTTCTCTGTTGCTCATCGGGGAGTTGGGATTTTTATTTAGGTTATTTATATCTGTTTTGGGAAGGTCGTTTGGGTAGAGCCTCACATCCCTAGAATTCAATCAATCTTTCACAAGAGCAGCTGAAAACAGATTTATTTCTTTTCTGAATGAGAACCTCAAACATTGCACTGCTATAAACACCAAATTTTTGGAAAATAGTTTTAATGTGGATTATTTTGTATAGACAGGAAAGGAAAGAGAAATTCAGGGACCCCCAGGTGAGTAAATATCATAATTTTTGCAGCTGCTATCTTTATTGGGAAATAAGTTTGTGTCTGACTACAAGTATCTTACCTGACTGTACTGTGTAGTGTTTGCAATGTGACAGTGCCTCACAGGATTCATTCCGGCTGTAACAGTCAGAGCTGACTTATTCCCCTTGCACTCTGTACTGAATGCAGCCTGTACATGTAATATCCTGTTGAAATGCTTCTTGTTTCCAGCACTGCTGCATTGCTGAATATGGTCTTGCTGCTGTTGGCTCATGAGACGGAGCAAGCTAATTAATTCAGCACGGTATTTAATTGAGTCACCGTGCCAGATGTCAATTACATTTTAGATCTTTCAAGTTTCTGTCTTGAAATATGTTAGCAGTACACATCTCAGAGTAGTGGAAGATTGGGTGTCTTGAACAAAAATTATATTAATGCTGTGCAAAATTGCAATAGGAATAGCAGGTGTTGGTATCCTCAACAGTGTTGCAGCACTGTTGGGAAATATGGTAGAGCAAGATCCACATCAGGACTGAAGAATACTCAAACTAAAGGTGGACTTGAGAGCTCAATGACTAATAAAGTTCTTAATTTTTCTCATCTAGGAGTTTAGCCAATAGTCATGAATTACATACAATTACATTATGAAATCATGAATGCTATTATTACCATTATTGTTGATGCATGCAGCCAGCAGAAAATCTTAAGACATTGTTTTTAGCAAGTGAGTTCTTGGATCTTAAAACTTGTCTAGGCATTAAAGTTTTATTTCAGTTTGACCTTAAGAACTTCTTATATAATTCTTAAATATTTGTAGATACCTATTATATTTAAAGTGATAGACGTCCTATTTAAATACTTTAAAATATCTATTCCTGTAATTTTGCCAAACTACTGAAATTACTCTGGTCTCAGCTGCGTGTATAATTTGTATCTATCAGCACAATTGGACTTGAAGTTTACTGCCTTCCATTTCCTTCTGCTACTTTCACTTTCCATCTACTGTGCCATAATAGTTGGGTAGTCCCTAGAAAATTAAATGCATAGGAATATATTTTCAAGCCTAGAAAATGAATATGTCTACATGTTCCCAGATTCTGCTTGAGATTTAATATAATCTCACTGTTTAGACAAACAGACCTGTGAAGAGTTTGAACAATACTACTGGCTGTCTACAGCTGGTGAGAACTCAGCTGTGGGATGCAAGACAACACAATTTGACCGAGAAGGCTCCAAATCTGTGTCTTGCTGCATCACAGAAACTTCAGTAGTTCATGGATACCCACAAATAGGTAGAAATATATTTTGATGCATCAGACTTCTAGTTTGTGATTCCAGTGTTTAACATGAAAACGGATTTTCACAAATGCCAAGTTTAATATGACCATGCAGGTGAAAAGAGCAGAAGATCTCCTAGACTGGACGTACAAATCACTGAAAGAAGAGCTTCTGGGTGTAAGCAGATCTAAATTCATGGCACTAGCAACCTAGTTAAGAAAAAGCTGTTCACTTGCTTTTTTCAGCTGTAAATATTTTCCCTGTTTGAGGGGACAGCTTGATGGGAATGAGGCCCATGGAAACAAAAGCAGCCCTGAACCACGTAGCTCACGACGGATGTCGAACAGTGGTCGCTCCGGCAGTAGTGTGGAGGAATTCCAAGAGCCCTGTTCCCTTGGCTGCTGCCATCTAGTTTTTGGTGTTAATCTGTGCCCATGGCAGGGTTTTGTGAAGCAAAACAATCATCAGCTGTATTCAGCTCACCATTCTCATCCCCTAGTTGCAGGGAAGAGCGAGCGGGGCAGGCCTGTATGAGCCAGATAAGGAAAAGAGGATTCAATGTGGCTGTGAAGAGAATCCACAGGAGGAGAATGTGCAGGGTTGGGCCAGGCAAGCAGTGGGACACTGCAGGA